TTCCTGTTAACAGCACACACACACACACCCGACTGAGTCTGCTCTTCATGTTAATTTTGACGGATTTTGTAGTCAGGTTTTAATATATTTATTGTAAGGTAGCAAAAGAAAGGGTATATTTTAAACCAATGTACAAATAAAGATGTTCCCCTCTCACAAGTGGCCAGTGTGCACTCAGCTGTTCCCTCTGTGGTGTTCCCCGTTCTCTTTTGGAGGTATATTTCTCCAGTCTATTGAGGCTGTTGTTTGATGGTGTGACACCCTCTCCCCTCACACTTCCCAGCAGCAGTGACCAAATTCATTTTAGCTATGGTATGGTATGATGGACCTCCGTCACTCCCCCACTACCGGGCAGGTTTTCCCACCAGAATTCTTTGGTTCCCTGCTGTGACTGAGCAGCCCTTGGTGGTGTGTAAATAACAGAGGTTTGTAGGAAAGCAGTGCAGATGGATCCACTATTCTCCTGCCTGGAGATTGGGAACCCAAAAGTATTTGTGGGCTAAGAGCATGAGGTACTGCTTAATGACGCAGTCGGTTTGGCCTTGAGAGAGGGGGAGAGGCAGAGATAACAGAGAACTTGCCTGCACACACACATTCCTTAGTTCATGTCTCATGACTAGGATGCTGTAATGTATGAAAGGGGGGGGAAACTAGAAACTAGAAGCTTATAAATAAACATTGGGAAGCTGAGAGGCTTCAGTCAGTCAGTTCCTGCAGACTTGTGTCCTGTCATCTTTGCATCGGGTGAACCCTGCACCCACACAACAGAGGTTTTTGAAAGAATTTCTGTCCCACAGAATATGTTGTACACAGTTTATGAAACACTGCGAAAGAATTTTGCTCTCTGTCACTAACTAACAGAATGAGCTTTGCAGGTACACTTAGCCTTTCTATGATACATATGTTAAGTGCTATTTATGATTTTAACTACATGGACAGAAATCAATCATGAATATATTCAGATATTAGACTTTGGTTCACTTATGACTATTGCTGGAAATGCATTCTGGGAGGCTTAAACAAAATGCTGTTTTGCTATTTTACTGTTCTGCTGAGGTTTGCGGCCTTGACTGACTGGCTACTTCTGCGCATGTGCCAGTTAGCCTGGCTACGTAGAGGACAATGAACATCTTATAACCATATAAGCTAATATGGAATGTTATCAACTAATTTTGGAATTCTATGACCTAGGCTAGAGGAAAGCTTAATGTTCAGCTTGGAAAAAGAAACTTAGCCTGAGAAGACCCAACCCACAGGTCTTCACCCAATGGGAAATAGGTGATGCAGTTTTACCAAGTTTGCTGTAAGCAATAATTCTGCTTCATTTCTCTGATGTAATATGAAATATAAAATACTATGTCTCCCGTTGTAACCTCAGAGACACTGGTTGGTATCTGAGGGGGCCAACCCCTGTTTATTTGGTTTCTCCCTGTTAATCGATTAATAGTAAAGACCTCTGTTACAGTTTCCTCCTTCACAGGACTGAGAGTCCTCAAATTGGAACCAGGGAAACACAGAGGATTTGTAAAACAAATATGATTGGTTTTTTTTAGCCCAGCTCAAGGAACTACTTGTGGGAAAGCAGGATCCCTCTTTATATTTCCCTTTTGAAATGACACTGGAGACGGTTTAACAGTAAAACAAAAGAACAAGTTTATTCAACAGGCAAGGATTGAATTGGTATACTCAAGGATTGGGATTGCTGAGGTAAAAGTTGTTTCACTTCTTTGAGTAGGCAAAATGATATTATTAAAGCTTAATTTCAGGTATTCCTAGTTCTTAGTTGGATGAGGTGTTTTACTCAGTATTTTAATTCCCTAGACAATGTTCCTTCAGAGAATTTCCTATGGCAGTTCAGATTTCCTGGAGTTGGCCACTGACTGTGAACCTACCTTTTCCCCCACCATAGAGAACAATGGAGGGGATAGGGGCAACCTATTTGAGGACCCGTAGAATTGGACCCCCTGGTCCAATGTTCTTTACTCTTGGTTGGTATCTTGGGGAGCGGCTCCAGCCGCTACCCTGCGAGTTTGGAGTGTCTCCCTCAAGCCCCCTCCCCTCCAGCCCCCAGAATATACCCTATGTTTTCGCCATTGACTTCAGTGGCCTATCTCTCCTTATATATAATTGAATAGTGGGTGCCAAAGTTCTAAAATGCACTCCTTTAGTGTATGGATGCTTGAACTGTCAGTCAGAAGATGCTGGCTGGGTTGACTGGCTGCTTTGTGCAGTCCCGCCCAGTGTTTCAAGGTCTTTTGCATATGGAAGCTGATTGGACTTCACTGCATTCCACACCTCAAACTCACCCCCCTCCCCGCAAGGCAGTTGGAATGTCAGTTGCATATGGAACCTTCAAGGTCTTTTGCATATGGAAGCTGATTGGACTTCACTGCATTCCACACCTCAAACTCACCCCCCTCCCCGCAAGGCAGTTGGAATGTCAGTTGCATATGGAACCTTCAAGGTCTTTTGCATATGGAAGCTGATTGGACTTCACTGCATTCCACACCTCAAACTCACCCCCCTCCCCGCAAGGCAGTTGGAATGTCAGTTGCATATGGAACCTTCAAGGTCTTTTGCATATGGAAGCTGATTGGACTTCACTGCATTCCACACCTCAAACTCACCCCCCGATTGGGGGGGCAAGGCGGGCGACGGAAGGCCGATGCCTCCGTTGCCCGGCCCTCTACAGAATCCACCCCCCAAACCTCCAGGTATTTCCCTCCTTAGAGCTGGCAACCCTACATTCCCCTCAGTGCCTGTTGGTAGGCAACTAAGCTTGGTCCTGTCACCTACTTTGGCCTTTGGGAGAAAACACATTGGGGCCAATCCTGATAGGGTTGCCAACTCCAGATGGGAAATTCCTGGAGACTTGAGGGATGGAGCCTGAAGAGGGTGAGGTTTGAGGAGGGGTGGGACCTCAGACAGGTACACTGCCATAGACTCCACCCTCCAAACCAGTCAGTCCCACATAGGGAACCATTGTTGCCAATCTCCAGGTGAGGGCTGGAGAGCACTCAGTATTACAACTGTTCTGCAGAAGGGAGGGCAGAAGTCAGCTGAAGTCAAAGGGGCAGATAATGGTAGGTTGGTGGCTAGCTGGGAAGGAGATGGGGTTGCCAACTACATGCTGACAAATTCCTGGGGATTTGAGGGGTGGAGCCTGGAGAGGGTGGGGTTTGCAGAGGGGTGGGACCTCAGACAGGTAGAATGCCATAGACTCCACCCTCCAAACCAGCCATTTTGTCCTGGGTAACAATTGTTGCCAATCTCCAGGTGAGGGCTACAGATTACTCACAATTACAACTGCTCTTCAGGTAGCAGAGATCAGTTCCTCTGGAGAAAACAGTGGACTCTGTCATTATACCCTGCTGAGGTCACCACAGCAAATTGACACTGTTTGCCCAAAGCCAGAGCACTCCCCCAGAGCCTCTTTCTAGATCTCGTTGTATTGCTTTCACAATGGGCTTTACTGCTAGTAGGATATAATGGGGCTGAAATTGACATTGGCTGGCGAAAGACTCCCGAATGGGCTGGTACTGACAAAACTGACATGCCGAAATTGATTCTGCCCGATTCGGCCGAATCCGAATGGGGCAAATTTTTATTTATTTATTTTTGCACACCCCTAGCCCAATTGCATGTGGCGTTTTGGATTAACTATGTGGTAAACATAAAAACAAAGCTGCGGTGGCTCAAGTTGAAAGGTCAGTAGTTCAGCAGTTCAAGACCCAGGTGCCGCATGACGGAGTGAGCTCCTGTCTCTAGTTCTAGCTCCTGCCAACCTAGCAGTTCGAAAGAAATTGCAAGGTACCACTTCGGTGGGAAGGTAACAGTGTTCTGTGCGCCTTGGTGTTTAGTCATGCCGGCCACATGACCACGGAAACTTCTTCGGACAGCGCTGGCTCTTTGGCTTGGAAACTGAGATGAGCACCACAACCCTAGAGTCAGATTCGACTGGCTTTCGAGCAAGGGAACCTTTACCCTTTACTTTAAATACGTCATTGGTCATGACGCACTAGTTCAGTGACAAATCCTCACTGTATCACTAGCAATGTCCCCTCTAAGCTGTGGAGTCTTGTGAGCAAAAATTCTACTTTGTGAGCTACTGGCATTAAAGTTGTGAGCGAGCAATTTGGCTACCGTATAAATTAGTTTGCTCTGGAGCCATCCTTTCTGAGCTAAGATAACAATTTGTGAGCTAGAGGCTAAAAAAATGTGAGCTAGCTCACACTAACTCAGCTTAGAGGGAACGATGATCGCTTGTCCTTTCAATGCTCCCTCTAAGCTGCGGAGTCATGTAAGCAAAAATTCTACTTTGTGAGCGACTGGCATTAAAGTTGTGAGCAAGTGATTTGGCTGCTGCGTAAATCAGTTTGCTCTGGAGCCCTCCTTCCTAAGACAAAAATGTGTGAGCTGGAGGCTAAAAAGCTGTGAGCTAACTCACTAACTCAGCTCAGGAGAAACACTGAGTCCTATATATTGTTAGCTGGCTATTTGGCATTGGAGAAACTATGTTTGGCACACTGTATTATAGCTGACTGTTGAACATATTACAGTATACTTTTAAATCTGGTTTCCCCATTTGCACATTTTTGGAGCTTGCTCCTTTTTCGGCCACCCCTCTGTGATGTTCCCAAGTTCTGAAGAGCGGCTCCTCCCTTCAGTGTCTGGGCTAGATTTTTTTGGTACACGCACTCGGTCTGCAGAATAGTTTTCTTTGCCTCTGATCTTGAAGTCATGCAAGCCCACCTTTTCCCCAAAGGGCCTTTTTTCAAGGCTGCTGTTGATTATATTTGGGGTATTATCGTTAAGGGAAGAATCCCTCCGTTTGCTGGCTGCACTTGGAGTTGGCATTAATTTGTTTCACGGTTATTGCTGCATATTTTTGGTTTCCTGTTAAACACTCTGTGGGCTCAGGAGAAAAGCTGGAGAGAAATGTTTTCCACAAATAAATTGATAAAGCCCCGCCCCCCCTGCAGGTTTTACTCCACTTCATGCTTTGTTTGTCAAGTAAGTGTTTATTGATTAAGCCAATGCAACATGGACTTTTATCTTACAAGAACCAGAAGCCGGCTGGAATTAATGACACAGAAAGAATAATCAACACAGCCTTCCACGAAAGTCAGACTAGAGCAAAAAATGAAAAGCAAATGCCACAGTCCAGTTAGAAATAAAAGTGAACGTAATACTTGGTCAGTTGTCTGGCGGCGGGTGGGAGAAGACAAACCCAGCTCAAGATCTGGTTCCAGCATCCACTGCCGCCACTGCCCCCGAAGTGAGAGAGAATAGCCAGGTGAAAACAACATCATGTGTGTCCTTGGACCTAAATGGAAAGCCCTGGCCTTGCCAGCTCCGGAGGAGTGGGAGGAATGTCGTACCCCAAACAGAAGGGCCCCGGAAAGCAACAATAAACTCATGAGGCAAAACATAGCGCAGGAGCCAACTTTTTTTGCCCTTTGCGTTCGTGTGGCACATGACTGTCACTCAGGAGCGGCACAGTGCCTCTTCCCGTCCTCAAGCCCCGTGGCTCTGGAAGTGTGGAAATGCAGTTCCACCGTCTCCCTTCACACCCTCCTCTGATACTGCTGAAGGAAAGCCTGCTCTGGCCAGGCCGTGGCTTCCCCTAAAGCGATGGTGATTGAAATGGCACCCCAAAAGAAGAAAGGGCGTCAGACCGAAGCAGAAACTCACCTGCCAATTCCCTAAGCCCACACGGAGGTCACCGTTCGTCCCCCAGTGCGCTGAGTTAACACATGCCACACATCCTTCCCAGTACCTCTTATAAATAACCCTCGAGCAATATAATACTGGGAAATCGGGTTACAGTAATCGTATTTTGGCCTCAGCAGAAAACTGCCTAAATTTCATAAGCCGATGGATGTGAAGCAACACAACAAACGGGAGGGGAATAAGAGACGCGGGATAATACTCTTCTTAAGTGGGCTGTGTGAGGTAAAAAGGAGAGTAATGAAAAGGGTATGGACATTTGTAGGTTTGGCCCTGGGCATAAAAGCAGCCACAACTGAAGGAGGAAAAGGAAGATGCCTCCTGCCTGCCCTGCCTTCCTGCCCCCTGAAGTTCTTTCAAACCTCAGAAAATGACACTGGTTTCAGGTCCTCAGACAGTGCCCTACAGGAACAATCTTCTACACACAACGAGGCCACACATAACAGCATATCACTGTGCCCTTTGACAGAAGGTGTTATTGCCCAGGACATCCAAAACCCAATTCGTCAGCAAGACCCTGGGAGAGAAGGAGTTCTCCTCACGGCGCGACCAGTCCGAAACCAAGCTCCTCCACACAAACCACCACCCACACGGAACAGGGATTCCCTGTTCTGTTTTCAGCTGTGAGCGTTACACAGACTGGACCTCAGGGCAGCCGGGCACAAAGCGCAAATAAGGGAGACAGGAAAGGACGTCGTCCCACCTTCTTCATGCAGTGGGCAAGGAGGGAGCAAGCAAGAGAGGGTGAAGGACAAATTACAAAGGGCGAAGGAGGTGCCCCTTGGCCGGGGTGTTTCAAGTTTGCTTAGTATACCCCAGATTCCCTATGGCAGCTTGGCTCCAGAGGACAGCCTGGGCCCTACTAGGGCAAGCCCTCTTCCTCCATTTACTGGGCGTTCGAGGAAGAGCCAATGAGCCCAAGGGAGGGGAGGGGAGGGGAGGGCAGGGCTGGAAAAGGGGGCTCTCCATCACAAAGCTGGGTGTCCCCCCCCCCGATTCGTTAGATAGCCAACAAAAAAGGCCCCAATCTTTCCACCAGTGTTTAAACAATAGTAATAATAACAAAGGTGTGGCAAAATGATGCATGACGTATGTGGTTCATTGTCCAGTTCTTCCTCCTCGCGTCCGCCCCGCACAAAAATCCCTCCAATGGCAGCCCTTTCAGTCCATCGTGTTTCTGAGGCCCGCAATGTGACAGCTCATTCTCCATAGACGCTTTCGTCACTGTAAGCCACGTACAGAAAATAATCTTCCTCGTGGTTATCCTGGCAACAAGAGAAAAATGGGGGTCGGGGGGAGAGAGAGACAGACAGACATCATTATTTAAACACATGCAAAAGTGCACCCGGCCCACCCAGACAAAGAGCAAGATCGGAAACTGGGGCACTCTTAGAGCTGCAACTGAAGGCGCGTGGGCCTCCTCTACGGCAGGAGGAGCTTTTGTCCACCACCAGCAGGCCAGTAGCTACAGTAAGGCTTTTGGGGGCTCTGCCCCTTTCTTAAAGGCAGAGCCCCACAAGAATTTCTCCTGTAAATGCTTTTTTCAATCATTTTTAAACATTTTTTAAAGGCGTGCGCTCCTTCAAGCAGAGCGGGGGGCTGTAGTTGACTAGTTTCTGCACTGAGCGAGGGGGTTGGAGTAGGTGACCTCTAGGATCCCTTCGAACTCTGTGTCAATAAACTGTTCTCCTCTAAGAGAGTTGTTCTGTCTAAGTGTTTGCTTCCTTGACTGTAGAAGTCATCACCCTCACCTGCCGGCTCGTTATCTGAGTTGTTGCTTAGGCTGGCAGCAGTGATTAACTTGCAGCAGCTGAGAACTGTCATCTAAAGTGGTTGACACTGCAATTTAGAGATCTCACCTGGTAACAGCTTTCCATTGGCTAAATGGCTTTTCTTTCTGCACTGAGAACTTCAGCCCCACCAGAAAAAAATTTGCCTCACAAACCACAAAATCCTGACTACCAGCTGGTTTGTCTGCTGTAGCCACCCCTGGATAGGCAAGACCACGCATGCTCTAGTTGCATCCAGACTGAACTACTGCAATGCAGCCTGTGAAGAGCCTGCCCTTGGAGACTGTTTAGAAGCTTTGGCCAATGCAAAAAGCTGCAGCAAGGTTGCTAAGTGGTGCTACTTACTGGGAACACATCTTCCCAATTTTAACAGAACTACATGGGCCATTTATTTGCTGTCAGGCCCAGTTCAAAGAGGTTTCAAACCCTAATCCACCTAAAGGACCCAAATGCTATCTTGTAAACCTGCCTGTCTGCTAAAATCAGCTAATAAGCTGATCGAATCACAGATGGCTATTCGGTCTGAACCACATGTTTGTGGGAAGAGATTCTGGCCTGAAATCTTGGACAGTTAAGGTGGTCAGGGCAAAATTGGGCCTGCAGTACCACTTTGGTGCAGTGGTTAGGAGTCACAAGTTCTCTCAGAGCTGTTGTAGCGTTCTTAAAGAAAAAGAGATTGGATTTATAACCCGCCCTTCACTACCCAAAGAGCGGCTTACAATCTCCTGTCCCTTCACCTCCCCAAAACATGTGGGGCTGAGAGAGCTCTTTCGAGGACTGCCCTTGAGAGAACAGCTCTGAGAGAACTTGTAACTGACCCAAGGTCACACCAGCAGCTGCATGTGGAAGAGAGGGGAATCAAACCTGGTTCTCCCAGATTAGAGTCCACGCTCCTAACCACTACACCAAACTGGCTCTTGAACGCACTTAAACTCTTCCTTAGAAGCAGAGGTGGTTTTTCTTTCCCGGCTCACCTATTTTACCTGAAGCGTCACTGTTTGACTTCCCAAGAAAATACAAGCGAATGCTGTTCCTGAAGGGTGGAATGTTTTAAAGAAGTACTTTCAGATTGCCCTGACCTGGACGGTCCAGGCTAGCCTGATCTCCTCATATCTCAGAAGCTCTGCATGGTCGGCCTTGGTGGGTACTTGTATAGGAGACCACCAAGGAAGTCCAGAGTTGCTATGCAGACACAGGCAATAGCAAACCACCCCTGAACATCTCTTCCCTTAAAAAGCCCATGAGGGGGGTCACAATAAGTCATCTGTGACTAGATGGCACTTTCCGTCATCCCCTTTTAGATTTGGCTATCTCAAGGAAAACAACAAGAGTCCAGTAGCACCTTAAAGACTAAAAAAATCTGTGGCAGGGTGAGCAGAGTCTCACGAAAGCGCCTCCCCTGCCACAAATTTTGTTACGTCTCGAAGGTGCTACTGGACTCTTGCTCTTTTCTACTGCTAAAGGTTTCCCTGGCTCGAAAGCCAGTCGAATCAGACTCTAGGAGGCGGTGCTCATCTCCATTTCCAAGCCGAAGAGCCAGCGCTGTCCGAAGACGCCTCCATGGTCATATGGCTGGCATGACTAGACGCCAAGGTGCACAGAACACTATTACCTTCCCACTGAAGTGGTACCTATTTCTGTACTTGCAATTTCTTGCTTTTGAACTGCTAGGTTGGCAGGAGCTGGGGCCGGAGACGGGAGCTCACTTCATCACACAGCACTCGGGTCTCGAACTGCTGAACTACCGACCTTCCAGTCTGCAGTTCAGCGTCTTAAACTCTAAGCCACCACGGCCCCTAAATAGCTCCTACCCTGCCACTAATTTTGTCAAGTCTTGAGGGTACAACTGGAATCTTGCTGTTTTCTACTGCTATAGACAGACATGCACGGTTACCCATCTTGTCATTTTAAGGATATTATTTACAATCTATGTTTTCTCTTTTTTGGCGATTGATTATAATGGCCTTGGGCTATACGGGCAATAAATGCTATCAGCTCCTTTGGCTGACCTGCGCCTGACGGAATGAAAGGGAATGTTCTGAAACCAGACCGAGAAAATCTATCCTTGCACAACTGAGCAACTTGGATGACACCGATGCGTTTTCTTTACTCCGCACAGAACATTCCAAGGAAGTGGAATGAGTCCAAAGATGTCACACGACAGTTGGCAGCTGGCACCTCCTTTCAGAGAAGGAGGAAAGTAATCCCAGAATGTTTTTATTTCGTGGAAGGAGGGTGCGTGGGAAAGGCAAAGATGTGCTGGTCCAGAAGTTTCCCACCTCTTACGAAATGAAGTCAGCTGACCCTTACCTCATACAGCTGCCCCATCGTAGCACTGGTGGGAGGGATGGTGTTGTTAACAAAGAAGAAGAGGGCGTCCTCGGGCCTCAGGTGGATTCGCTTTCGGATCAAGAAGTAGAACTGGCCAACTGGAACAGGCAGAAAGGGGGGAGGAGGAGGAGAAAAGGCCAGTCAGAGATGGGCAAGTTCTTTACCTGATCTTTCCTACTGATTTATGTTTACGGTCCTCCTCTCTTACTGAAACTCAAGGTGGATTACACAGCGTATTAGGCCCAAGGCAGGTCACAGTCACAATCAAAGCCACAAGCAACACAAAATAAAATCCCAAGCTTCAAACAGAGAAACACACCGGGTTCTGGGACCACCCCATCCCACTGAAATCAACCACCATCTTTCTCTCCTATCTGGACAGACAGCACTTTGAAGGATCCAGCTCCAAAGGATCAGAAGCGCCCCTTCAATCACCCGAGAAACAGCAACGATGCTCAGGAGCTCACATCTCAGCTAGAATCTCATCAATGCACAGGGGCTGGATATGCAACCCCTATCAGTTCCAACAGCCCTGTTCCCTTTAGGCTGCCGCCGCTTGCTCCTGGATGCGTATAAAACGTCCCCACGTACACCCCAAGAGTAGAAACCCCAAATATACAAATTCTACTAGTAGAAAACACTATCAAAGACTGCCAAAACAATATATTAGACAATTATAAATTTGGTGGTGTCACAACAACAACATTAATAATGTGGACTCCCCCTATCAAGTTACACTGACTACATGGACTTTATGTCTTGTCTTCAAAGGAGGAAACTGTATCTTATGCCTTATTATAAGCACAGTATGCATTCATGTTGTTGTTGCGACACCACCAACTTTATAATTGTTTAATATATTGTTTCGGCAATCTTTGATGGTGTTTTCGACTAGTGGGATTTGTATATTTGGGATTTCTGTGACACTAGTCCTTCCCTTGTTTGGATTTACCAAGAATAGAAACAGCTGATGCCTCAGTATGAGAACTACCAGCTTTGGAGAGGTGCTGTAGCGCAGCACAAGTGCCTCTGCTTTGAGCGCAGTAGGTCCCTGTTCAGTCCCCGGCACCTTCATTTTAAAAAGAGGGGGAAAAGACCAGGCAGTACATGATGTGAAAACAGGAAAAACCCCAGGCCACCAACCCCCCTGTCTTCTGAAGGCAAGGGTGATGTCAGGAATACAAATTGGGACAGTGACTCTCCCTCCCATTCTACCAGGCAACTGAGCTACCCAGACGTTTCAAGGAATATCCTCCTGAACTGACCATGAGCATGGACACACATGAAGCTCCTTACATTGAACATCAGAAGAGCCCTGTGAGATCAGACCAGTGGTCCATCTAGTCCAGCCTCCTGTCTCATACAGTGGCCAACCAGTTCATCTAGAGGTCCAACAACAGGGCACAGAGGCTGAGGCCTTCAGAAGAACATAAGACGAGCCCTGCTGAATCAGACCGATGGTCCATCTAGTCCAGCATCCTGTCTCACACAGTGACCAACTAGTTCCTCTGGACGGCCAACAACAAGGCAGAAAGGCCCGAGGCCTTCTCCGGATGTTGCCTCCTGGCTCTGGGATTCACAGGTTTAGTGCCACTGAATGTGAAGGTTCCCCTCAGCCACCATGGCTAGCAGCCTTTGATAGACTTATCCTCTATGAATCTATCTAATCCCCCTTTAAAGCTGATAAGAATATTTTTTAAAAATGAGTTTCTGACGGGGCGGATCAGGACCCAGTGGGGGAAGAAGGGGGCTGGGAGCTGTTCGTGGCACATACTGAATCAGACCCTCGGTCCATCAAGGTCAGGACTATCAGACTGGCAGTGGCTCTCTAGGGCCTCAGGTGCTTTCACATCATCTCCTACCTGATTCTTATAACTGGAGATGCCGGGGATTGAACCGGGAACCTTCTGCATGCCAAGCAGATGCACTACCACTGAGCCAGAGCCCCTCCCTCACTGTGCAGTGAGATGGAGACAGAAGACAGAAGAGGGCAGAACTCTGAGTGGGATAAGCTCCTCATTAACCAAACTCACCATGGGCCTCTACCTACCGTCTCACTTTTTTAAAAAGGACCTATATCATGTGATCCAGCAGCGACATGCCTTAAACTCAGAAGTGAACATAAACGCCTGCCTTAAACTCAGAAGTGAACTGGCTTCAAAACTTAAATTTTCACAAAGAATCAGATTTTGCTCTGTTTTTAAAAGGATATTCTAACAGAAAACAGGAACGGCTTGACTTTTCAGTCGCCCTTTCTCAACTGGTCTGTTTCCACTTGGGAACCCTACCCTGGAGTCTGAAATGCCAGCATTGCTAAAGTGGCTCTCAAGAAAATTCACTAGGAAATTCACTGTGGTTTCTTAATCCCAGGTGCTACGAACTGCAGCACTATGCGCTCTATGAAGATACATCAGTCAGAGCCAGGGTTGCCAACTCTGCATCGGGAAATTCCTGGAGATTTTGTGGTGGAGCCTAGGGAAGGAGGGAGGTCAGCAGGTTATAAAGCCATAGAGTCCCCCCCCCCAAGCTGCCATTTTCTCCAGGGAAACTGATCGCTGTTGTAATTCCTGGAGGTTGGCAACTCTAGTCAGCGCCCCTTGTGTCTGCTTCCATACAGTGGTTGCCAAGAACTTTCCTTGAAAAGCAAGAGAGAGAAAATTATGGATTGGGGTTTCTTTACCTGTGAGATCAGAAGGGACAAGGTACTTCCTCTTATCCAGGTCAGGTACTCTTGCTTTGGGGGCCTTCTCCACTATCACCTGGATAAGAAAAAGCGAGAGGGAGGAAAGAAGATCAATAGGTTATGCTGTGTGCACGCATGTGTGTTAAGTGCTGTCGGGTTCCTTCCAACTTATGGGGACCCTATGAATTAATGTCTTCCAAAATGTCCTATCATTGACAGCCTGGTCTTGCAAACTGAGGGCCATGGCTTCCTGGACGGAGTCCATCCATCTCGGGTTGGGCATTCCTCTTTTCCTGATGCCTTTTACTTTCCCTAGCATTAACTGTAATTACCACTATGGAAACATTCACAGAAAGAAGCGTCCCAAATGCACTGGCGGAAGGGCTCACACTATGGAGGGGAAATACCTACAGGGAAGCACAGCCTGGACACAGCCTAAGTCAGGAGGGCACCCTAGAAGAAAGACTCAGAGAAGGAAGTGTCGCGGCATCTTGTTCAAAGCAGGTTCTACTGGCACATCGACTGCAGCAAGCAGAAATAAATTACAGCGCCCGCAGACCAAAGTAGGAGAAGAGGAGGAAGAGATTGGCCCTTCACTACCCAAAGAAGTCTCAGAGCGGCTTACAAACTCCTTTCCCTTCCCCTCCCCACAACAGACACCCTGTGAGGCAGGTGGGGCCAAGAGAGCTCTGACAGAAACTGCTCTTTTTCAAGGACAGCTGTGCCAGAACTATGGCTTGCCCAAGGTCATCCAGCCAGGTGCAAGGGGAGGAGTGGGGAATCAAACCCAGTTCTCCCAGATTAGAGTCCGCACACTTAACCACTACACCAAACTGGCTCGACACCAAAGTAGACACAGATGCGGGACTCATCTTAAAGAGCAGCGGAAAGAGGCAGCTCACTGGCGTGAGTGAAGGATCATCCAGACCCTAACTTCAAGGAAGAACAAACAGCCCAATATGGCAGGCAGCCCCTTATTGAGGGAGAAACTGCAGCTTCGAGAGCTGTTGTTCAGGCCCTGGACTGAGCCCTCTTATCAATATGGTGGCAGGAGGTGGCCATTATCAGCCCAGGAAGGATCAAAACCACAAGCTACTGAACAGCTGCCCCCCCCCCCCATTGGTCCCTCTTATTTTGTCTGCCTTGGGCAATAGTGTGGTGTAGGGGTTAGAGTGTCAGACTACAATCTAGGAGACCCACGTCTGAGTCCCCACTCTGCTGTGGAATCTTGCTGGGATAGGTTTGCGAGTCGCCAGGTCCCAGCAGGCGTTCCCCTAGTTTTTGGGGCCTCTGCCCACCCCCAAACAGCCAAGTCCCCAGGTGACTTCCCCAACATGATGACATCAGCCGGAAGTGATGTCATCGCATCAGTGATGTTGCAGGGGGACATTCTGGTTAGAGGGCAAAACTCTGTGGTAAATTTGCCCTCAACCAGAGTGTCGCCAATGCAATGATGTCACTTCTGGGTGACGTCAACACGTCCAGGATGTCACGTGATGTTCCTGGAGGAGAAGGGGACATCTCCCAAATCCCTCCACTGGCGACAAGGTAGTTCCTGGCAACCCTATGCTGTAGCTCTGTGGCAGAGCCTCTGCTTGGCATGCAGAAGGTCCCCGGTTCAATCCCCGGCGTCTCCAGTTAAAAGGCCTGGCAGGAGGTGATGTGAAAGACCTCAGCCTGAGACCCTGGAGAGCTGCTTCCAGCCTGAGTAGACGATACTGACTTTGATGGACCAACGTTCTGGATTCAGTACAAGGCAGCTTCATGTGTTCATAAACTTGGGCCAGTCACGCCCTCTCTGCCTCAACTACCTCACAGGGTTGTTCAGAGGATAAAACGAAGGAGGAGAATGATCAAAGCCTCTGCACCCCCAGATTGGAGAGGAAGGTGGGGTAGAAATGAAACAAAAAGAAAAAGTAAGATCGGCTAGTTAAATGAAACAACTTATGTCCTCAACCCTGTCCCCATGACGTAGATCACCCTCTCACAAAACCCCACAGGGTTCACTAAGGTTTCTTAATTTAAAGATCAAAATTTAATAGCTTTTCTTGCTGCTGAATTCAGGTCCCTGAACTGAAGAACGCCGGCCTTCTTCTTTTTTTAGCACCGTTTTCAGGCTATGCCACACTGCTTAGAGCTGGGAGGGGGAAAGAGCGCACTGGATTCTGTGGGGGCTCAGCACTGCTACAGCTTTTGTGCATGTCCTCGAAAGCCACCGCCACCCACTGATCCGGCTTCAGTGTACGGCTGCCAAACTCCAGGTGCGGCCTCGGGTTCCCCTGGAATTACAAACTCATCTCCAAACAACAGAGATTGGTTCCCCCGGAGAAAATGGCTGCTTTGGAGGGTGGGCTCTGTGGCATCGTACTCCTGCTGAGGCCCCTTCCCAAACTCCACCCACACAGGGTTTGCCATAGATCTCTGGGGATTTCCCAACATGGAGCTGGCAACCCTTACTTCCGTGGGCTGGGTGGGCCTCTGGCGAGGCTTGGGCATCTTGCGCTGATCCTTAACACCTTTCACACTGCAGCTGAAACCCCGGACCTAGTTCCTGAGGAGGCCAGCGGCGTCCCTCGGACGCACCTCTGCTTCCCGGAAACAAAAGGAGTCGAGGCTGAGGAGTCGGGTAGTGGCAGACCGAGATCTGAGCACCCGGGCTACTGAACGGCTCACAACCAGACGGGGAGAGGGAGCCCCTTTCGCCTTACGCTCCGCTTCACTCCCGGATAGCTTTCCCCAGATGTGGAAGAGCAAATGCCACGTCACCCATCAAGCACTTGCCGAGCACCTGCAGACAAAAACGCCCTGTCTCTTTACCAGAAGCTGAATGGGATCTTATTAGTGGGAGAGAGCGGGATACAAATCGAAATGTAATAATAACAACAATCATCATTATTATCATTATTATTTACCTCCCTGCCATAAAAAGCTTCATCTGTCTGTTTCCACACATTTTTAAAGCCTCTGTTAAAGGGACAGGATGTTTTTCTCCAAGCCTCCTGACCACCGTAACTTCATGTCAACGACGCATCATGTCTCTAAATCAGGGGTTCCCAATACGGTGCCCGTGGGCACCAGGGCGCCCGGCACCTTTCTTCGCACCTGCCAAGTGTTTTTAGAAAGTGGCCAGGGCCAGATTGGGGCTTTTGCCCAGCAAGGCTTCTGATTGTCCCTTGGAGATTTGATTGGCTGTGCAGATTTCTGAACACGTTGTTTTGGCACCAGCTGCCACCACAGCACACGGATCTTTACTGTGTGACTAAAGATAAACTGGGGCAACTATTTCATAGCTGGCTGCGCCTCCTGCAGCAGCCATTTCTGTTAAGTCGTGCGCTTAACAAAGAAGTCGGAGAGTGATTCAGCAAGAATGCGGTTTATTCTTCAGCTCTGTTACTTCTCCGAACACGGTACAACGATCGCCAGCCAGAACCCATCATTCGAACCAACACATACACTGGCTGCTCTATATTTAAACATTCCCGGCTAATGTAGCCACACCCACTGTACAATAAGCAACCTATGAGGTTGAAGCAATAAGGACCAATCACAAGCGATCCCGCTCTGCACGGTGATTGGCAAACATATTCTGGGCTAGGGCTCCTATTGGTTACATTAGGATCCTAGCCCAGGGCGAAGCTTAACATGGCATCTCAATGGCACAGTTCACAAGGCAGTTATATACATCTCAATACATAACAAATCCCTCCCCCCTAAGCAAAAACACTATGTACAATCATAATCGCTTAGGTACATTGGCGCTCTGCGCGATCTCTGAGACCTGCGTAGTTGTACAGGTTCAGGGCACCTTCCATTCTGGGGAGTATTGTACGACTCTGGGACCTCAGAGTCAGGAGCACTTCCATCACTAGCAATGGGTCTTTGAGTAGGGGTCTGCCCTGGCTTGCGGACAGTACTGGGGCCCTCGGGCACATCAGAACTCACCTCCGGAAGAGGTTGTGGAAGGTCCTCGGAATCAGGTAGCTCGGCAGGTTGCGAGGTGGGGCGGCCAGTCGCCCACCGCTGCCTCAACTGGTCCACATGTCGCCTCCATTTGCGCCCGTCCGCAAGCTGGACTACATACATGCGGGAACCCACTACCTCAGTTACAGTGGCTGGAAGCCACGAATGTCCCCCAGCATAGTTCTTGGCGAACACAGTATCTCCGCACTCGTATGTGCGGACCTTATTGGGAACACTCTGCTGCTGGGGCCTCAAGTCGTTGAGGTCTGGATGCAGCCTATCCAGCAAAGACGCTAGGCGTCGCCCCATCAATAGTTCGGCCGGGCTGCGGCCTGTGGCAGAGCACGGCGTTACGTGTTGCCGTAGAAGGAATGACGCTAGTTTCACTCCCCAATCCCCGGATGTTAGCTTGGCAAGCGCATCCTTGGTCGTGCGGACCATTCGCTCTGCCTGCCCGTTCGATGCTGGGTGGAACGGGGCAGACGTAATTTGCCTGATGCCATTGTTAGCCAGGAATTGAGCAAACTCTTGCGACACGAACTGAGCGCCGTTATCGCTTACCAGGACATCAGGCAACCCATGCGTGGCAATTAAGCGGCGCAACACATTTATAACAGCAGTGGAAGTGGTGGTAGACATTGGCGCCACTTCCAACCATTTCGAAAAAGAGTCCACCACAATCAAAAACATTTGACCCTGTACTGGGCCCGCCAAATCTATGTGCAGCCTCGACCAAGGCTTTCCCGCCGATTCCCATTTCTGTGGGAAGGCGGTTGGCGGTTCGGGTCTCGCCTGCTGGCATGGCGTACACCCCCGTACCCACTCTTCAATGTCAGCATCCATCCCAGGCCACCATACATATCCCCGGGCCAGAGCCTTCATATGCACCATGCCGGGATGGCCCTCGTGTAGTGATTTCAGCACTTTTTCGCGCCAGCGTTGCGGTACAATCACTCTGTTCCCCCACAGCAAACAGCCCTTTGATACCGACATTTCGCTTTCCCGCGTTTTGTACGGTTTGAACTCCGGCTCCAACGTTCCTGCCGGCCACCCCCTCCACACCCAGTTAATAACACGACTGAGCACAGAGTCTTTTGCTGTCGCAGCAGCAATGTCCTTAG